ATCACAGTGAGGAATACTGTCCACTGACATTTTTAAAATATCAATAACTCGTACTGTCAATAAATGCAGATTGGAATACACGTAACATTCATATAGATATCAATATATTTACAGTATTTACAGTCACAGACAAGCAGAAGGCGAACAATAGAAGCACAATACAGAGGCTTTGGCGAAAAATAAAACGAGTGCATACATTTTGCTACACTTGACATATACACATGTAGTAAACATGATTATACACGGAGAGAGTACAAAAACAAGCAAGATCTAAAAAATCCAGTGCAATGTCAGGTTTTTGTTGGTTTCTGTCCGTGGATGAATAGCAGCCTGTCGCCTTCACGTCCTCCTCTTCCTCCTCAGTGAGTTTGTGGTTGGTGGGAATAAAATGTCCTGAGAGGGCGGGAAACTCGTTCTGTCGTCCGCTGGCAGCTCCGGCTACGTGAACAGATTATTACAGCTTGTCTTTCTTAATCATATGTGGCATGAACACACCTTGATGTTCGGACACACATGAAAGTATCTGAATGAAGCTAGCTAGTGAGCTAATGGTTAGCACAGTAGCCAGACAGCTTAGCATCACCCACCATGAACAGTCATAGTATCTTCGTATTTGTGAGTGTTTACAATCTCCTGACATTTGTTCTCTGTGCGTTTTACTGAGGAAGAGTCAGATTTATTAGGAGTTGGAGTGTATTAAACATTTCAGCCTCAGGGGGGAGCTGGTGTGTCTGGCCAATGCTGCTTAGCTCACAAAAGGTTTAGTTTCTATGGCAACATGAAAAGAAACATGGATCAGTCACTGGGGAAACAGATAACTGGGCTGGTTTCCATGGCAACTTAACTAGTTTCATGTGATGTGATAACGAGCTGTGACAGTTTTGACCCTGTTCTGTGGCGTGTGTAAACGTAGCCGGGGCCCGGTCGTCGTCACGTGTTCACCGGCCGATTGAGATGTGCAGTAGAAATGATCGTCCTGATGTGACGGGTGGAGCGGACTGAACCAACCCCCCCACCCCTCCTGGGGTCCTGAGTCGGCCCTGTGGGCTCCTGAGTCTGTTAGTTGGCGGTGGGAATGAGCACGCCGACAGGAAGCGCAGGGCCTCTGTTTTGGCCCTTGGGCAGGGCCACTCTGTTGAGGTCTCCGGTTTCGGCGGGCCACGAGGACGCCCTCTTGGAGGTCATGTGCCGCCGGGCATGTTTGGTCAAGTGGTCACTGCGCATGAAGCGCCGGTCACACACGTTGCAGACAAACTTCTTCTCGCCAGTGTGCGTCCTGCGGTGGCGAGAAAGCTCATCAGAACGGGCAAACTTTTTGTCACATCCCTCCCAGTGACAGCTGAACGGCTTTTCACCTGCACAGGAGGAAAAGAAGCCAAGTGTTAACACGCTGGAACAGAACCACAGACACACTCTCAGCCAGTGTCAGCTGTCAATCATGACGTGTTTTTTAACGTCAGTGAGTAAACAACAACCTGAAATGACAGAAACATCTTTGACAAACATTTATTTACGTCTACTATGATTTTTTAGTTTGGTTCATGTCCCATCTGCTAACATGGAGGAGGGTTTATGATCTATACTGCAGCCAGACACCAGGGGGCGATCCAGATGATCTGGCTTCACTTTTGTCGTCCATATTTATTTACAGTCACTGCTCATATTTACATCCATATTTAATCAACTGATCAATATGTAAATAATCGCTGCAGCTACAGTCTCTCACTCATCGTTTCAACAATTCTCCACTGATGAACAGAACAAGAACAAACAACCAATGAGGAGAGGGACGATTTGCCCGGTAGGTGCAGTGTGTGTCTCTACCTGTGTGTGTGCGCAGGTGAGCCTTCAGGTGGGAACTCTTGAAATACGTCTTTTTGCAGCCAGGGAAGTTGCAGACGTAGTTTCTCCTGCGGGAGAAGTCGACCTGCGAGGCGCCGCTCACTCCTGACGGCATGTAAACTGGAGCAGGGGCCAGTGGGAGCAGTTTGGTGTTGCCCAGGGTCATGACGGTCTGCGGTCCCTGCGGCGGCTGGGAGACGGGCGACTGGGGGACCACGAACATCACGGTCCCCTGCGGCACAGCCGAGCCCAACAGCAGAGGCTGGAGGGGCTTTGGCCCCCCCTGAGTCTGCACCTGAACCGGACCTTGGACGAAGGCGGAGATCATCCCCGTCCGGCCGCTCACCGGGATCACCTGACAGAGCAGCGGGGAGGGGGAGACCGGCGAGGAGTGAGGAGGAGACACCGAGGAGTGAGGAGGGGACACCGAGGAGTGAGGAGGAGACACCGAAGAGGGAGGAGAGGACAGGTTGTCAGGAGATAGAGGACGTCCATCCTTCTCGTCCGTCTTTAGAAGTCGGGGCTGAGGCGGCATTTGTGATGGCGGGGAGCAGGAGGGGGAAGGGGGAGGAGGAGGAATACTGAGGCTGTCGGCGGTGTGGCGGATCACGCTGGTGGCCATGGCTCTGCCGGGCAGAGCCACACAGGACGACTCCGTCTGAGGTGCTGAGGTGTCCGAGGCGAAGAGGGAGGAGGAGGAGTCACTGAGGAGGGTGGAGCCCATGCAGAGCGCCAGGCGGGGTAAGACTGCTCTGGGGGGGGGGCTCAGAGCAGAGGTGGTGGAGGACTCGGAGAAGCTCGGACTGTGAGGTGGAGTCATACACTGAGAAGATAATAATAAAGAGTTCTAGTTTGTAACAGGTTAATGTGACAGGCTTCATTATGAGAACAGTATTTATTTATATGCAGTTTTACTTGATTATCATTGATCATAATTTCAAACTCTTACACTTCCAGAGGGTTCAAACTATAAGTGTGTGTGTGTGTGTGTACATTTAT